GAGGACTTGAAGCACTTGTTGAGGAAGATAAACGAATACAGCCTTCTATATAGATTGTATCTCAATGTCAAGAAAACAAAGATTCTTACCACTGGACCTATGATAGACCACTGCATCGTGACAGATGGAGAAAAGATTGAAACTCTTTAACAACTGCACCTTACTTGGTACTAGCAGTCACGAAATCAGAAAACACAACGCACTGGAAAAGTCTGTTAGGGACCTTCCCAAATTATTGAGCAGTAATACCAGTTTGAGGACTAAGGTGCATTCTGATTCAGTCCATGGTCTTTCCTATCATTTGCAATGAATCTGAGAGCTAGAGAGTGAAAAAAGGTGACAAAAGAAGAATTGATGCCTTTGAGCTATGATATTAGAGAAGAACATCCCATGGACTGCCCAAAGAACAAAGAAATATGACTTGGAGAGGGTGCGGCCAGAGTGCTCTTTGGAGGCAAAGACAATGAAACTTCATTTCACGTACTTACAAACTTCAGGTGTGTTGCTAAGAGGGGCTATTCCTTGGAGAGGACCATGATGCTTGGAAAAGTAGAAGGTCAGTGAAGGAGAGGAAGGTCCCTGACCAGGTGGATTGACACAATGACTGCAACAATTGGCTCTAATATGTCAGGAAGTGTGAGGATAGCTCAGGATAGAACAGAGTTCCGACCTTTTGTTCATAGGATCACTGAGTCATACAGCTCCTGAGTTTGACAGCACCTAACAACAACTCACAACATGGTCATTGAATCCATCATAAATGAAATAATGATGGAAATAAGGAAAAATCATAGGTCAGTGTCATGTTAGTAAATGACCTCCCTAGGATAAAAGGGTTATATATTCACTACACACAACCAAATCTCTTGACCTATAGAATTAGAAGCAGCGGTGACAAGTTCAGAGATGGCAGTCAATCATGTCACTTTGACTGTGGGTGTTCTCCACACACCTGACAATAATCAAGTCTCTATCAGGCTCCTGTGAGGGGTCTGTGAGTTTCTCAGTTGTTCTGATATACTAACACTTCACTCATTTTGGTCTGTTTTGATTTCACTTCATCAACAATGACTGAACTCATTCCAAGTCTTGTTGGTAAAATAACAGGCTCTGAAGTGAGATTCTTGGGCTTTAAATTCCTACTGATTAATTAGTAAAGCAGTTTATTGATTGGCAAAATTAGTATAACCATAAATTGTGATGCTTACATGAGTTGATAATAAGCAATGGGCTTAATCAGTGACCAGCACATGGTATATATTATTACTATTATTCTTTTCTCTATTCCTATTCTCTCTATTCTCTATTCCTACTCTAGCTATATAACTTTTTCTATTCTGTAGTCTTAAGCTGCTCAGAAAGTTCAGAAACGTCTCCATCGTTTTGTGTCTTCTGGAATGTGATAGTAATAATAATAAGGGGAACCTCTACAACAGCAGGCTACAGCACTTTGAGAGCTTTTGGTGACCTGTGAGAGTCACCTATTACCACTGACTCAGGTGCCAACAGTTTGTAATTGATTCTCCTTTGCAGCACTGATGAGGAGAAGGCATGGTGGTGTTTTATAATAAACTAACTCCAAGTAAGGGAGCTCTAGTGGCCTAGTGATAATAAATGAGCTGCACTGCCATCCCAAGGATATTCAGTTCAAATTCCCCAGATGTTCTGTGGGAAAAATATGAACAGTCTCCTCCTGTGTGATTTACTGCCTCTGAAAACCTGCTGGAGGGCCAGCTATGAGTCTATTTCAAGTTGACAGTGCATAGCAACAACCCTCGAGTAAAGGAAGTGGTGTAAAAGAAGTCTGGCAACACTGTAGTTAAGCCATTCAGCTGCCATACAAAGTCAGTGGTTTAAAACCTCCAGCTACTCTTCAGGGAAAATACAAGATATTTGTTTCCTACAGAATTAATATTTATAGTCTTGATAACTCTACAGAGCAGTTCCACTTTGTTCTATAGGCCTCGGGCCTCGATGCGTCAGAATTCACTTGGTAACAGTGAGTTACTTTTCTGGGTGAAGCAGGAATATGTCTTTGCAATATAACCTTAAAAAAAGGAATATTTTTGTGTAAATAGTCACAATAGTCATCTAAAATGTCTCTCTAACTGCTCTAGCCTCAGTTCACATTAAGAAATATTTTGTGTTACCGTAGGTTCACACGTGTGTTATTGTGTACTGTCAATTTGGAACTGACTCTTAATTGACCCTACAACAGGTTTTCAGAGGAAGTAAATCACACAGGAGGGAACTGTACAGAAGGAGCTTGCCCATCCTTCTTCCACAGAGCAACTGGTGGATTTGAACTGAGTGCCTTCAGAATTACAGCACAACTTCTTGGCAATAATGCTCCCTATAAACTGGGAGGAAAAAATATCCAAATCTAAGTTTGACAAAACAATGCATGCTTTCACTACCTGTAATTCATATACTATTTTTGTTCCATTGATTCCATCCCATCCCAACCCATCTCATGTCATTCCATTCCATTTCTGTTTATGAAGAGAGACCTTTAGACTGAGAGACCTAAACAAAACAGTCATGAACATTAGGTGAAAAAAGTGAGATTTTCTTTAGCTCTGCCTTTAAAAAAAATCTTAGTAATTATCATCACTATTTCTCCTTTCAAACAAAACCAAACAAAAACTACCTATACACATACACACAAACCTCACAGACATTCATTGTTAGATCAGTCATTTTGCAAAGCAAAAAAGATAACTAGGGGTTTACTACTATTTACAATATTTAGTCTAATTTGAGATTTTAAGGTTTGCGATTGTTTCTGTTCCAGCCAAGTTATGGACTAGGTCATTATTAGTGGATATAGTGATATAACTAGAACAATCTGGGAATCTTGCTTCTGTTCCTGGTTCTGCCACTACAAGTAGGTTACCAGCTTTCTCTGAGACTCATCCCCTCCATCTCTGTGAGGAGGTAATAGCATTCTTTCTCTCTGCTCCCACCAATCAGAGCTGTTTGAAGACCAAGTTCATATTTGAAATGGTTTTAACAATTAAAAAGCACTTTACAAATGCAAAGACTGTTAGACTTTTTGAGTCTATATTTGTAATGCTCCCTTCTTTTTTAATTTTTTTTTTAATTCTTGTAGATTTCTCAGTTGAACACACTGATTGCACTTCTGTTGGGAGACCTTCCACCTGGAGACAGACAAAAGATCATGACGATTTGTACCATTGATGTCCATGCTAGAGATGTGGTGGCAAAACTTATTTCTCAGAAGGCAAGTTGGCTATAGACTCTTTATGTTCATTGCTATTTTTTTTATTACTGGTTCTTAGTGTTTGTTGGAGGTAAAGATGATAAAGCCTGGTCTCACATACTCTGAGCATGTTGCTAAGAGAAGCTGTTCTTTGTAGAGGGCCTTCATGCTTTGAAAGGTGAAGGGATGGCGAAGGAGAGGAAGGCCCTCAACCAGGTGGATTGACCCAGTGACTGTGACAGTGGGCTCAAGTGTGTCAGAGATTGTGAAGACAGCACAGGGCAGGGTTCAGATCTGTTGTTCATAGGGTTGCTGTGAGTCATACTAGACTCAACACCTAACAATAACAACTATCAAAATAGGCCCAACTGATCAATTATTTTTAGAAGTTTGTGTATTTTAATTAGTTCTGAGAAATTTTACTTCTTTTTGGTGTGTTTGATTAGATGGCTAATATCCCAACAGCCAAACAGTGGACTCACTCAGTGATCATGTAGGTGGCTCAAGACTTGGCAGTGTTTTGGGTTTGTTTTTGTGTTTGTTTGGCTTTGTTTTTTTCCCTGGAGTAGAGCTAACTCAGTGGCCACTAATAGCCACAAGAACAATGATATCCTGATGGGAGATATCTGAAACAATATCTCAAATGTTTTCACAAGTTGGGATTTGAATAAGTGAAAAATGGGCCCAACATGAAAGAATTGTGGCAGTCCCTATATTTATTAATTTCTCTGCCTTCTGACTTCTCTGCCTGTCTTCATAATGGCTCTTGGTCATTCAGTCTTAACCTCCGCAAACTCACATGACCCCAGTTGCTATCAGAGTTACCTGTATTGTTTAGACCCATTGTGTGTATTTTCAATCTATTTCCTCATACACACACACACACACACACACACACACACAAAAATGTATCATTACTTCTTTTTGTATATCACTACTTCTGTGTCATTACTTAGGTAATTCTTTGGCTGGATTTTTTTTAAACTGCTTTCAAGGCTAAATAATGCAGTTGTCCTTAAGATAATACTTTCTAATCCAGTTAGTGTATTAATAACTCTGTTTTTCTCTCTCCATAAAACCATGTGTCACCTAGATGCTGGCAGTGTTTAATAGGAAGAGAGGGTTTTATTTTACTTTTTTCAAACTATGACCTAGTTAATGAATGTTAGATATATGTGTTGTCTACTTAACAACATTAATAAATCACATCTATCATCCATTTCCTCCAATACCCTTTTGTCTTCTGGAGCTGATGGTAGTAATTCAAAACAATGCCGTCTAAATTTAAAGTGTGTTGTTTTTAGTATATTTTGCTCTTTTTATAAATTTTCTCAATTTATTAGAACCAAAGGGTATTTGGATACCCTTCGCAGAGTGCAAGCAAATACTTCTTCATATGAGCAATAAACTTAAATAAATTTTCCTTAATTAGGCATTAATTATATTTTTAAATTGATAATCCAGAGTAACCCTTGACAATACCACTTACTGTGTCCATGTATTGTCATTTTGATGATGAACTACTTTCTGCATATGACCTTGCAACTTCTTATATATTCTTTTATATTTTCTCAACCTGATATACTTACAGTAGGACAGAATAGGAATCATATTTTACATATGTGTTGTTAAGTATTCTTGAGTCAGAACTGACCCATAACTTACCCTCCAGCAGGTTTTAAGAAGCAGTAAATCA